GTTATTCCCAAAATGCCCAGGAGAGGGCAGCAAAGAGCACTTCTCTGCCCTCAATGCATTAGAGTTGAGAATCCAGATCCTTGGTGTACCATCACTTCGATAAAAATTCCTATTTTAAGCCTCTCACATATTCATCTTACCTACTGCTCCCATTTGGCAGATGTGGGAGGGACATTTGTTAACTCCATTTTACAGGTATTTAAACTGAAGGCTGATTCTAACATAGTTCAAAGTCCAGAACAGAGGCCTGAATGGCCCAAGAGGGACCAGAAGGTCAAGGACCTGCAGAGTGTCCTGGATGTGCCGAGGAGCCCATAGTTTGGGCTGGATCTTGCTCATTCCATTGAAGAAAATCTGCACATAAACTGTGGTGCAGCCATGCGCTCACCCCAGCTGGTGTTTGGGGTGGGACTTGGGCCGCTGGGGAAGGGGGCAGGTGGAGACGGAGGGGCTGGCCTGGCCTTCACAGGAGCACAACCAGCACCAGGTCCCTGTAACAGCAACTTCCCCACTTCTACTCCCTGCCTGTCCTCCGGCCATTTAAAACGTGTTCTTCCGTCCAGTGCCCCTCTCTGCTTCGGCCCACGTTCCCCTCCTATGAAATGTCAACTGACAAGAGCTTCCTAGCAGCTTGGCATGGAGTCTAGGGCAGCAGTTTCCTTTTTGGGGAGTGTCTGAGCCCCAGACAAGTGCAGAGCTGACTTCTGGTCCCACCACCTACCAGCTGTGTGACTTTAGGCAAAGAAATGGAAGCTCAATCCCCCCTCTGTGGGAGGGTAATGGTGCCCCCGGTGGTGTGAGGACTCAGGTGGCGCCTTCAGTCCTGCCCAGCGCATGACCGGCACTCCCTCTCCCTCCCTCTCCCCTTCTTGTCTTTCCTACCTTCCATGGACCCGCAAATCAGGAGTTTAGCAAACAGTCTCCTTTTAGCAGGATGAGCTCTCCTATTGGTGTCCAAAGAGCCAAAGTCCCCCTAGGTACTTGTTCCACAGTATGAACCACAGCCTCTCTGGTCTTCACACCCCTGCTCCCCTCCAAACCCGCGGTCCCTGCCTCAGCCCAGGGCAGCCCACCTCTCACCAGTCTGCTCACTGCGGATTCCTGTCCCCTCTCGCCCTACCCGACTTCCACACTGTGACCAGTTTGATTTTTCAAAATTAGGGACCTAATCTTGTCATTTATGTATAAAAATTACCAACAGCTTCCCCCCAGACTAGAGAGTCAAGTGTCTGTCGCCGACACAGTGCTGAGGCTCT